ACCGTAATTGCATCGTCATATATTAGTATACCTTTTCATGAGATGCTGCCTATGAACTACAAGTGCAGGGACTAAGTAGACTGGAACGTATACAGGAACTGCTCTTCCATATGCTTGTAACAAGAATGAAAAGACATGTCCTGTACATGACTGGTTACCATGCACAATCTGGAAAGCAAACATAAGAAGTTAGATCATGGGAGAAAAGAAAATTAACAAAAACTGAAAACAGATTAGCTATAGATAGCACGGACACAGAGAAATGTTATGCTACAGAATTGATTCTATTTACTGGATGCTTGATAGGCCAAATTTCAAAGTACAATGGATAGTAGCTCAATAATTCATTCATATGAATCTTAAGACTTACTGAGCAGGGCACTTTCATGTTCGGATCTAGCTTTATGTCAACACCAACAGATTTGTAGTACTTCTCGATACCCGCTAAGTTACTGAAAGCAGTGTGGTTGACTACATCCTTCACACCTTGCAAAATAGAAAGATCTTTTCCACCATGCTTGTTTAGAAATGATTTATACGACGATGGCAAACTCTCCTGCTTTAAAATGTATGCGGACCTGCATAGAAAATAATGGAGGCAAAAAATCGCTATTTTCACATGCTACAGAATATATGGGATGATATATATGCAGTCCTGACTAATCACTTTGCCCATGACAAGAGAATAGAAACTTTTTCGTGCATGGTATACTGGTTTAGGGCCTCTTTGGAATGCAGGATTCTAGAAACGCAGGAAAAGAAAAAATGTAGGAATATAATGCCCTGACATCTTGAATCCTATGTATTGAGAAAACACAGGAAACTGAATGTTTGGATGGATTGGACAAAAAACACATGAATTTGATGAGTGACACCAAGGATACTTTCCATGAAGTTCAACCTCTTGGTAAAATTCCTATGAAACAAGCCATTCCATATGAATTTCATAGGAATTGTAGGAACCCGATCCTTTGTTCCAAAGGGGTTCTCGTAGGAAATTTTCCTATAGGATTGCAATACTTTATAGAATTCCTTCATTTTTCCTTTGTTCCTAAGGGGGCCTTAAACAGTTCCATTCACGGCATAACTTGGAAAACATTAACAATAATTTTTAACTTCTAAACAATCACTAGAACCTAACAAAAAATTATTGAATATTTGAAGGGAACTTACAAAATTTGTGCAGATGAGAGGCACATAAGGAAGACATCACCATGTGACCAAGTCAAAGGTTTACAGATCTTTCCTAAACGTTTGCTCTTTATTCCACAACGGGATGCAAGCACTGCTGCACGCATCAGAATGTATATAGCCAAGCTAGTATGCTGAGTTCCTGGTCCTGTCAGGAGCATAGAAGGACCAGCAATCAACCCAGCTAATAATGACCTCCACCTTGCTGTTCTGAAGCAACAAGAGTATTCAGTTATACATTATCCAACAAAATCGACCTAGTGATTCAAAGAGATGTGGAAGCTGTAATGGAACAAGATTCTGAGGTGTTGTGTCAATGAGAAACAACTACAAAATGGCAAGATAGGGACTGCTGCATAGTGTGGGGGTATGGCCCCCGGTATCCTCAAGACAAGACATGGGCCGTACCATCAGAGGTACTAGATATTGTAATAGTACCAAATATGATACTTTACTTGTTGTACTAGATATTGTAATAGTACCAAATATGATACTTTACAAGTTGTACTAGATATTGTAATAGTACCAAATATGATACTTTACTTGTAACCCTCCTCCTCCAGACTATATAAGGAGAGGCAGGGGACCCCCTCAGGGGACAATCCATCTAGATCATACAGATCATAACAGATCTCACCTCAATCAATACAAATAACAGAGCACAGGACGTAGGGTTTTACGCCACACTGGCGGCCTGAACCTGTATAAATCTTGTGTCTTGTGTCTCTGTAACCATCTGGTTCCTGATTACGCGCATCCTACCGATAATCTACCACCACGGGCACCCCCCTCGGTGGACTGCCGACCATATTTCGTCGACACATAGCATCTTGATCATATCTGGGTTCATCAAAAGACCCATGAAAGATATCTCATACATCAATAAAATCAAAAGACCACTAGTCCACTAGCATGCAGGTCTGATCAATACTATATCAAAGTACTTCACAGTACAGGACTACTGAGCTTCTCACAACAATAGCACTGAATAACAGCAGGTTGCCGAAGTCCTATACTATAAACAAAATTTCACGAGTTCTTGGTTCAACTAATCTTAGTAAACAACACAGTGATGCAGCACTTGTCCAATCAAAACTAGCATCTTGGATCACTAATGAACAAAATTGTTTCCACAGGAAGAATTGTTTGCAATTGTAGAACTGTGATCAATTCTCACCACAGTCAACAATCATGCATGCACTTCCCAGTACCCGAGAAGAAAGAACTATTTCTATCGAAATTCAATTAATCCTCACCAAAGCACCAGCTCTGGCCTCTCATACTAATATTTAAAGAAAAGTAACACAAGCCGCAGGATCTATTTTCTGTTGCTTCTCATCTTCTAGACATGTTCATTCAAACACATAACTTGACAGATAACTAAATGCACCTAGTTCCCACCTACTCCACTATCTTCACATCGGATTAACCAAAGGCAACACACATGGTTTGTTCGAATCATCACAGAAGCAATCGCCAATCATCTCCACATCAAGCAAATTCGCAGTCCCCAAATAGGAAAATTTTTCAACTGTGATGGTCCCGTGAACTGACCTCTTACGTCCCCAGACGGCAGCGATGTACTCATCGACGGAGACGTAGCTGCCGGCAAAGGTCCCCAAGAACAAGCCGTACCTCACAGTCTCCTTAACCGCGAGCACCACGGCCTCCTCGTTCGTCATAGCTCCGGTCTTCCTGCACTCACCAGCACACCACGGCACAAGAATTAGTTTTAGAACCACCAAGACCAAAAACCCCCGCACCAAAGCATCCCGCTTGTGCGCGCGAGAGAGACCTCGATCTGGGGGAGCGGCGGCTGCGGATGCGGACGAGGACGGAGAAGAGCGCGAGGCCGCCCTTGAGGCCCGCGCCGATGGCGAAGCCCTTCGCTGCCGCCTCCACGCACCGCCGCAGCCACCGGAGCTCGCCGTCCCCAGCGGCCAGCGCCGGCGGGGCCTCCAGGGGTTTCCCCGGCGGGGCGGCGCAGTTGCCGTTCACGGCGCATTGGAGATCCTCCGGCGGCGAGGGGGCCATGAGCTCGCCGGCGGGGGGAGGTGCGGATCCCCCACCAGGTGGCCACCACAGTGAGGAAGAGGAAGCTCTGCTGAGGGCAATTGGGGTTGGGGGGCTGCAAGGCGCAGTGCAGGCAGCATGACTTGCCGTCAGCGGAGTTCTACGCGTGCCAGTATACAATAATCTCTGGCCATCTGTTAAAAAAAATCGGAAGCGTTCTATTACTGAATTAAATTTCTGCGATGAGATTTTACGGATATCATATCAGGAGTAAATTTCTGGGAACAGAGTTTTTTCAGGGAACCGACGGATAGGGTAAATTTGCCGGCAAATACGAAGACGGTATAGGATCATTCATGTATATGTGCCCGAATTGCACTGTATCCTGCACTGGTAGCATTATTATTATTATTATTTTGACAACTGCACTGGTAGCATTAAAAGCGAGTGTTTATTATTATCCGTGGCGACCAATAAATAGAAGAGTTTGAAAGGTGTGTTTTTGAGCTCCACCCTTATTAGCGCAACTACCTGCTCTCTTTTTCTAGTGCTTTACGAAATCCTTATTGGAAGTCAATTACTCACAGTACTTGTGCTTGTAAAATTTTAATACCATGCAGCTCTACGATCTATACATGTTACTGAGAACAAAACTATGGCATGCATTTCTAACTGTATATATTTAGTGAACTTCCGTTTTCGTGCCGCAACTCAACCAAGGCACGGAGAATTTTGTAGTGGCAATTGGCAAATCATGAATGTGAGAACATCCCATTCCTTGCGCAGTCTGGTTACTTTTTTAGGAAAATTATTTACGGTCGAGCGGAGGTGAAAAAGCTGACAATGACCTTCCGGGAACCGGAATTTCCTTTTTACAGGCGATCGGCAGTTTGGCACACGTCCATTGTGCTGTGCTTCAGTAGTTCAGTTATACGTCGACGTCGTCCGATTAAAAACGCAACGAATCAAACAGGACTACAGGTAGTAGACGCAAACGAAACCGAATTCATTTGCAATTCTTTCGTTTTTCTCAGACAATCTGTGGGCTCAGAGTGGTCAAATGATCGCTTTCAGTGCCAGTGCCACACCGTGCCAGATGATTGTTTATTTTATCGGGCTTTGTTGCTCTGACATTTGCTGGTTGAAGTGTTGAACTGCCAGGCTTTATTTGGGTTAGTTTTATGGGCTCTTCAGGCATTAGTGCCGTGCATATTTAGTAATCGAAACGTACACATCAAGCGGTTTCGGTTCAGACAAGAAAGAAAACCAAGGGCTTTCAGACTTTTCAGCTCACAGCAAATACGGCATACGTGAAAAACATCACTGCCACTGCCACGAGAATGCTGCTCCAGTTTATAGCATGGCCCTGTTCGCTGATTCGTTATGAGAGAAAAACATTGTTCCTTCGCTGATTTGTCCTAGAATCCATGCTACTATAAGATGAATATCCAATTGGTAGAATTTACAAACAGGGGCTTGAACCAAAGCCCCCAACACTGAACAAACTTTACAGAGTCAAGGACAATTCGACATGTTTAATATACATAAACCTTTGTTTATGCAACTGGTCGAAAGTATAAACAAGTCAACCATATATATTCATTCAAAAGAGTCTTCAGTAAATGTGTTTTTCCATCTGTACAACATATACTGTACAAAACACTACAGCTAAATAACTAAGACCAGAACCAAACTAAAATATGTACACACTAGATGGTTATAACTTAGCAACGCAACTGCGGGTTATCAATTTGGTAACACTAACAAATAATTTACAAGCATATATACACCAGTTGTTATGACCAAGAAGGCATTGGCACGTCATCATCCCAAAGCTCTTTGAACTCACTCATAAAGAAGCCTTCATCCATCTCGGTCGACTCATCGAGCATCTTTTCTTGCATGGCCTATTATACCAGCAGTAAAGAAATGTGAAAACAATGAATCAATAGTCCCATTACAGTTACATCAGTTCAGAGCATTAGAATGGGAAAGTCAGTTGATAAAGCGAAGCTACGAAACAAAAAGAAGACCTTGATACCTGCGATTCTTGAATTTTTGTCACAACAGTCAGAATCCTTTGATACTGATCCCGAGCTTCTGGGTACTGAGCCATCGACTTCACTCTGGCAAGAGCTTTCTGCAGCCTTTCTTCGGTTTGTTTCCGTCCTTGTTGTAAGAAATCATAATCATCCTCAGCAGGTTTATTTTGGATCAAATTACTACTGCTGCTGCTGCTATTGCTCTCCATTGCACCTTCTGTGGACCGAAACCCACGCAGCCCAGCCCCTTTTCGCCTCCAACGCAATATGACCTTCTCCACTATTCCAACAGACCAAATGATTTTACGATAATGCTTCCTCACTTGGTGACCTCGCACATGAGCCTAGCCAGGAGACGATGACAAGTTTCAGGCTTTCAGCATTGATTGCTAAAATAGCATTATTCAATAACAAAATATTGAAATAGCATCAACAACATATCTTGATTATGAAAATATAATTCGAACTGACTGAGCATTGCATGGTTCACTGAAAATTTGCCAGAAGGAAAACAGAATTTTTTGCATGGTATACTCAAACAAATCGCGAATAGAATGATACACTATTAAGCTGGAACACTCAGCGGATCACTACTCATGTATAATACAACAAATAACAATACCTGGATCTTGACAATGCGCTGTCTGATAAGTAGAAATTCCTTTCTTCCCTTCCATCCATGGTACTTGTTCTGTATTCGAGTTGCAGCAGTATGCAGGGGATCAAGCTGTACAGGTTTAGATGGTTTAACAGACAAGAGTGATATGGCACGATCATCTGATACTGCACCATTGTCATCCTCATACTGAACTGCTTGCTTTCTCTGGAAGGACTGCACCCTGAAAACTTGATATATTCGAGCAGCAGCTTGGGCAGCATTTCGAACAGCACCTAGTGAATCTCCCATGGATCCAGCTTGAAGACCTTCACCTGCTAATGGTGATGCTCTTCTTTCAGTTACATCTCCAATACCTGGCAGACCGGATATTTCTGGCGCATTGCTCCCCATGCCTTCCTTAAGATCAAGGGTCTGAAGATGACTTGTTAAAGAAGACTCCGCCAAGAAACCAGAGATTCCCTTGTATCCATTAGCTGATGCAAGATCAGCTGGTGTGCTTCCTGTAGGGAAATCTGGCGTTGGGTCTGTCAAAGCTCCTGGAGCTGCACCAAGTGCGATAAGTGCGACAACTGTTCGCTCTCTGGACAACAGGTGAAGCAACATCAGTATGCATATAAAATATGTGCACATACAATATCACACTCTGAAACATTTACCTGCCACAAAATGCAGCCCAATGGAGTGCAGTCCATCCATGAGCATCTCTAAAATTTATATTCACACCAGCAGAAACTGTTGGCCTTATCACCCAATCATATCCTAGGGCAGCTGCTAGATGAAGTACACCCTGCCCTTCATCATCTAACACATTGGGGCCTTTGCCACCATCGCTTGCTTTGTGGACAAGCCAGAAATGCAATTTTTCCTTTAAGCGTTTTTCAAAGAACTGATCCTGATTATCATCAGTGGCAGGCTCATTATCACTAGCCAATTTTAGCAACTTGGACCAGGAATCATTGTCTGTCATCAGTGAGCTTATCTTCTTGCTCAAATCAACCATCTCCTTTGTGGGGTTAGATACTGTTGCCTGGTACTCATTGTGTCCCAAAGACAACAGGTCATCAAGACGCATCTGGAGATATGTTTTGTATGTAGCACCATGTGGACTCGGGGCATCCGTGTATTGAGTAACACTTGGCCGGAACTCAAACTCACGGATTTCGCTGCAGGCCAACCTGTTGGTGCATGTGACATAAAAAGGAACCCTGCCAGGTTTGTGTGACGGGGAATAACATCTGAGAGTCCCATCAGCTGATATCTCTGCTGGAACTTCGACTTCACCAAACATACATGACCACTTGCATCTTTCAATCTCATCAAAATTTAAGAATCTACCTGTAATGAGAACCTGGATGGTATGCAAGATACATCATAAGCAGCTAAAGAAGACTAGATTCAAAGAGTCATTAGGACAAAGCTATTACACTTCCAAGACTTTTGAGCCAAGAACATATGAAAAGCTTTAGAAGGCATACCCTAGTCTTGGAGCCTGCATATGTCCAGCTTGGAGAGAAATCAACTATACTAAACAGCTGGTCTTGTGCAAGCACTGGGTCAAGAGTGAATTGATCCAACTGATCACGACTTGATGCTTCAATGATATTATCGGTCTCTTCACTGTTCCAGTACACTCCAGAACTGGACTTAATTTGGGAATCATCTACTTCACCAAGTGCTTTGCTCATCCATCTCGTAAAACTATCACTTTTCTTAAAGCTGTCCTTCAGCATTTCAGAAAGACTAGATGATTGAGTTTTCAAGAGAGGGTAATTAATAGTTTCCTCCAACGATCTATCATCTTGCTGGAAACTGTCCTCTGGAGGAAATGAGCTGATAGCACCAGGAAGCTGAAATCAAGTAATTTCTCAGTTAAGCTACATAAACAATTGGGCCAGCAATGGTAGTATAATGGAGTACTAGTATTGTGAAACCTAATCAAATGCAATTGAGCAGAGTCTGTACAATAACCTACAATATAGACTTGCTGCCATAATAAAGACAAGAAAGTAGTTCTATCCACGAAAAATAAAACCATGAAATCAAATTGTAATGAAACAACATTTCTGTGCCATTCAGAAGATCACTAATGGGGGGAATTGGAACTATTAACTTCCATAAGCGAAGCTTTAATAGGTACTACTTCCTAATTTTCCCTTGTGGAATTAGTTTAGCTTGCATACATTTTTTTGTACTCCATGTATCATTAAACTTTCTATGCCAGTATTGCTGTCTGGAAAATAAGCAGCATGCAGCTGCCTTGTTTATCTGTTACATAACATGCGGTCACTGCCCAACCTTCTACCATTATAAAGTACTGCACTAGGAAATCAAACTCGCAGACATATCTAAGCTTTATACAAGTGAACTTTATATATACTGCCATACAGAAATGTACTTCATGATACCTGACATACTGATTCTTCATCAGTGACTACAACATCTGCATCCTTGATACTCAATCCATTACTATATACTTCATCAAATGTGAAGGATTCAATTCCATGTCCTTCAGAGAAAGGAAATAGTTCTGAGTGAACAGTACTTTGGGGTGGGGACATTTGAAGGACCCCCTGGTCAGGTTTAAGAAGGCCATTCAATGATGATGGATCCAACTGATTATCTGCCCCATTGAATCCAATTCCAAGGCCAGGCTCATTAAGAGCAACTGGTAAGGCATCTTGACAATAAGAATAAATGTCTGTATTAGTCACTGTAGCTGGGAAGCCTTGAAGGTTACCTAAACATTTTGTGTAGCAAAAGAATACAGGTCAATTCAGCTTCGATCCATAATGAATAAACTATTTCAAATGCCTTCCAGGAAAAAAAAATGTATAATGCTACTTGCCTAGAGACAGTGCAGGAATGTAGGAGCTCGGAATAGAAGCGCCCATCACAGGTCCACCTCCATTTTCATGCTGCTGCGTCCAAGAGAAAGGGTGGTATCCGGCTCCTCCCGAATAAATATCTGCTGCAGCGAATTTGGCTTTAGATACGCTGTGCATAATTGGAATGTGTATCAGTAAAATATTCCAGTAGACTTTATGCAGAATAGAAGGGATAGCAAACAGTTATACCTGATTCTGTTTCCTCGTATTCTGAGGCTTGTCCGCTAAGAGAGCTTTCACCCTCTGTAGTTTGTGAAGGCAACTGACTTAAAGGGCTATCCATACGAGCAGCTTGAAGCATATCATCATGTCCTCTAATACGAGAAGTTGATTTGCCACCCTGATTGTGATATCCAAATATGAGAGGGGGGATTGGAAATTTTTAAGCAGGTAATTCAAGAAGAAAAGCTTTTGCTCCCAAAAGATAGGAAATGACGATGCAAGTTCAGAGTTTGAACCAGTTGACAACAAAACACAAGTAGCCAAAGTAAAAAATGCAAACAGAAATATATATAAAAAAAACTGGCTACTTGAACCATTGCAAAGATAGAGGTGCCTCATAGCGTGTTTCCATGTTTGAGACAAATGAATGTATTCAGATGGTAGTCGTCCAACAGAGTTGTATATCACATGATGCCTACAGCCTACTAGGACTAGTACAATAACTGAAAATATGAAGTTCCAATTATTATATAATAACTGAAACATAAAGTTCCAATTATTATTTTACATTTATGTTTTGTTAATTGATTGATTCATTGCATAAGAACTGATGCAAACTCATGATAGCGCCAGAGCATTTCCGTATAACCTGCGTATAAGTTTAATAACTGGTTTAGAATAAAAGTCGAGCATATTTAGCTTAATTACTTGTTTAACTGCTTCAAATAGCATTGAACTGAGGTGCTACTGCAAGTGTATAACAAAACAGAAGCCCACAATACTTGCTAGACCTGAACTTGAACAGAATTCTCAGAACATGAAATGAAACAAATTGTTTACAACATATTGGCTACATTATACTAAGGATAAGCTATGAGAAAAACCCATGTGATTACTGTCACAACAGATAATAGATAAAAACCTGATGTAAAGAAAAAAACGCATTCAACATAAAATTTTCTACAATGCAGCATATAGGATGATGAAATCCAATTATCATAAAGTACAATGGACAAGTAGCTAAATACATATCAACCAGAGTAGGATTAGCAATAACCTTGACTTCGAGATAATGTACAAGTACAATGTGCATAAAATCCCTGCAAAAAAGTAGAATCAGTTGTAAGTTCCATGCGTGCATGCAGACTCAATAGAAGACGCATGAGCCATGAGTTGTCAGCATGCCTTAAGTAACATAATCTAAGTTGCAATACTAGAAAAGTAACAAAGAAGAACACTTACTCCTCCAACATCCAATAACTCCTCCTCTGAAAGTTTTCTTTTCCTTCCCCATGAGCATAGTAGCAGTGAAGCACATCAACACTTCCAGACTGGATCAGTAAAGAATTGTCAGTTTTGTTGCCCTAATGGCTATAATCACTTAACAACATACACTATGCTGTAATTGTACATAGGAAAACTTTGCACTATTCAAATTTGACGTACTTTTAATCTTTCATGAGCTTCTTTGACAGTTTTTCCATCCCTTTTCTTCCTCCAATTATGGCCGTCCTTCCGGAAATATCTCAATACTTTCCGATCAAACAAGAAAAGTGAACCACCTAAAGCCAGCGATAAAAGAAAATATTAGCAAGATAAACAGAAACATCAAAAAGAAATAGCACCTTTTGGAGGAACAACTATAAAAAAGAAACAGTGTTCAGCAGAAAATGAGTGTCATACTTGGAGGTCTATTTGGTGGTTCTGGGGAAATACGAAAATTTCTGTAGTTCTTAAGTATCTCACATATCTCAGCTGGAATTAGTAGCCATCGGTGTTGTGCTTCTTTCAATATCTGCTCAACATCTGTTCCAATTTCATGAAAGCAAGGGTTAGATAATTGAATATAATGCCGTGGTTAAAATGGATTCATAGGAAGGTGGTCTTAAAATATTTATATTAGATCGAAGTAATAAATTTTAATCAGCCTTCACAAAATAGAGTTGCCTGACCATTTTACTCACGTGTACAATAAAACTTAATATTGGAGTCCCTTTTGTAAGTAAATCAACTGGATTTCATTGGAAGTGAAACCCTTACGACCAAGATGTATCTACAGAACATAACTTCAAGAGTGGAGGAGGACACGGAAACAGTTCATCATACCTCGGTTTGGAGCCTCAAAGTCTCTCCTAAGTGTACTTCACTACTTATTACCCGACAACTCAAAAATCGTTAAACTTCTGAAACTATGTGACCCTCTAAAAAAATAAAAAAGAGGGTCCCATACATAAACTATCATGTGATATCCCCGACGCATGCACACCTAATAACAGATCTTAAGTCTTATAACCCAACCAGAAGCCAAAAGTCAGCTTCATCAGACCTCTGTTCATGCTACAACAGTCACTTGAAGTCTTGAACACGAGATTCTTACAGAGAAATCCTCTTGTCAAGCTCTTCAAAAGTCCCAGGTTGGCAACCCGATTCCTGGTATTACATGCTAATAACTCCGATCTAAACCCAAGCACGGATCAGGTACATCACAGGTCCCACAAAAGCAGGGTACTGAAATTCCGACTTCAGAACACTGAAGTTCCTCACATAAAGTCCCCCACTCTCCCACAAGGCTTTGCCATAGCTGCCAAGGCTCCAGGTAATTCCACCCTGAGAACACTGTGGACGCAGGACCTGAACGAAATACCCCCACTTCCGCATAATGGGCTCCATACTCAGTCACCAGACCTCCAAATCCACATCAATTTACTCCAGAGACAAGGTGTCTCCTCGCGAATACCAAGTTTACACCAATCGCACATGCCCATCGTCACCAACCCACGCGCAGGATTACGAAACCAAACCACGGATCCCAGCGACGAAACCACTCTCGCCACCGCCCAAGCGACAAAATCAAACGCTCCAGAACGAGACTGCAGCGAGACAAATGAAAAGAAGGACCCGACGTGTTGACCGCAACCTAACCGCCAACTCCATCCCCCTGGTCAGGTGGATCAGGAGTTGAGGGCGAACCAGACGCCTGAGAGAGGAGAAGGTGGATCAGGAGTTGAGTTCAGTGCGCTCACCTAGCTGCGGTGCGATCGCGTGGCGCCGCGCCTCCGCCATCGCCCGAACCCCACCGCCGCGCGCAACAAAGCAGAACCAGGCACCAGGCGCCGCCGGCCCGGCCGCCGCGGCGCGGAGTCAAGCCACCAAGCGCAAGGCCCTCTGGGCCTAGTGGTTGCCGTTCCGATGGCGATCGCCTCGTGATTCGCTCTCCCGGATTTCTCGCAGGGTTTTGTGGAGGATTCGGGAGGTGTTGGGGGCCTGTGACTGGCGCCTCTCCTCTTCCTGGCGACGGAATTTGGTGGTGAGGCGCGAGGAGAGAGAGGAAAGAACTGGACAAGCCAGCCGTCGACGAGGTGGCGTGACGAGTCAGAGGGCGAGCGAGAGCTCAGGCGCTCAGCAGCCAGCAGGGGTGTGGTGTGGATGAGGAAGAAATGTCCGTTTTGCCCCGGCGTTCATGGTGGATGGTCCGTTGGAGCTGGGGCCATCGTGGGAATGGGGGGGGGGGGGCTTGGCATTTTCCGGGCTCCGGAGCGGTTGGTGGTGCGGCCGCCGGCGGGCGGGCGGTTGGTGGTCGCGCCAAGCGTCGAGGCCACACTAGCCGTGCGAGAGCCTGCCCGTGCCCGGCGCTTGAATATGCGGGGGCCGCCTCGTTTCTTGGGTGAATGAATTATGAATGTGTCAGCGCACGTGTCGCTCTCGCCGAGGAGCCCAACGTGAAACACGAAATATTGCGTGCAAGGCTGCAGTCAAAACCAGTGAGCCAGTTATCGAACAATTAGCCCTCGTTTAGTTGGACCCAAAATACAAAAAGTTACTACAATATCTGTCATATTGAATATTTGCGGCATGTGCATGGTGCATTAAATGTAGACGAAAAGAAAAACTAATTGCACAGTTTGGTGGGAAATTGCGAGACGAACGTTTTAAGCCTAATTAGTCAATGTTTGGACACTATTTATCAAATAAAAACGAAAGTGCTATAGTAACCCCAAAATCCAAATTTCACTAACTAAACTAAGGGCTTAGCATAACCATAAGTTGCTGTTTCCAATTATAGTTGTACTCCTATCTCTCTCTGTACAGAAGAAGATCCGAACAGAGCTTGGTCTGAACTCTACCCCCTGAGCTCCGAGCAAGATTTCTTGCGCTAGTTTCAGTCTCTCGACTCTTCAGTGTACTTGCGCCTAGGAAAGACAAGCTAAATTGAAAAGCATAGTTCTTTCGATTCGAACGTGTCCAAGAAATCCGACAACGATCTTGAGGAGATCCCGTGGTTCAGTCCGTCCGGCGCATTTGGCGGGTAACGGGGAAGGCCAGGCCATCAGCTGCAGCGTGCAGTCGTTATCTGTCGCCGTCCTATTCACGCTTTGTTATGCTTTTCAAGTACAGTAGCAGTAGTACTGAGCACGCTTTACAAGCCGGCACTCGAGGCTCGACAGGTAGCCTCTCGCTTTTCCTCTTCTCATCAGGCCGTCAGAGTCGCGCGTAAATACGAAAGCCAAGTCCATGTCCAGCTGGCCACAGTGTTTCTCCTGCTGTGAATTGGGCTTTCGATCTCGAGGTATCTAGATTAGCATAGCAGGCAGATGTAATGCGAACTTGCTCGCCCCCTGGCGTTCAGAAACTGGACTTGGTACTTGGTAGGAGCATCGGATGCATCCAGCGGATTCTCACGACCTGCAGGCTCCAGCCCAGTTTGATGCATGGTTGATGTAATCGGTGTGTCCGGATAACTGATCCAAACACCTAACACGTGCGATAACTGATAAATCCGTGGTTCAGTCGGTCTCGCGCTCACAATTGAACATCGCTTGGACCAAACCTTCAAGACAGTAAAGATGCCTTCAATAAAGAAATGGACTTAACTTTGTTAAGAGTAAAGGAGAGTCGTTCTGAAGATTTCTGCACATGGATCCAAAACTGGTTGTAATTCTGAGAATAGATATCATCTTTTTTATTTCCTTTTCTGTACCTTAATTTCGTTTGTAAGTTTGTTGCTTCTTGTATTTAATAAAATTTCTGCTGTAGGGGCTTCGGCCCCTCCAGACTCTTCCAAAAAAATAAAAACATCGCTTGCATTCTCTTCGTCTTGAAAATTTGTGCAAGGAAACCCATCTAAAGGTAACAATCATTGTATTCCTAAAAAACAAAATAGGTAGAAACCATGGTGCAGTAGGCGTAGCAGTGCAACAGACAGTGACTTTGCACCTAATTACCTCATCCTTCCAGCCTCCAACATGCCTTGGTTAATTAGCAACAGTACTTTCTGAGCCCCATGACGCGGACCTACGCTACGCATTTTCTTGATCACCACCCGGAATGTGCCGACCACGTGTCGTCGGAAGCCGACCTTGGCCAGAAACATGTGTGCGTTGCGTTGTGAACATTCCTGAATCTGACTATAGCAGGGTTACAGACAAGCGACAACCTGGCTATGCACTATGCAGTCACTCTCGCTCTCGCTCACAGTGCTCGCTCGGAGGTTCCCGTAGGACTGACTATGCCCCTGTTTGGAAATTGGAACTGCTTACTTAAGGGCTCTTTCTGCTACTTTTTAAACTTTTATTAAGACATTAGTAATCTCAAACGCATAGCTTCTCATGGGCCTTTTTTTAGATAGGCTTCTGGAAAAAGAACTGGGAATGAGAGAGGGGGCTACTTCTCGCGGCTTATTTTTCTCACCCGTGCCTCTCTCCTCTCTGTCCGCCCTAAGCCACTGCAAAGCGTGGTTGTGTGCGGGCTGCCCGCCCCGCTTGCATCCCTAATTCCCTAGCACGCCCAACCGTGCAGATAGTATCCGACGTGCACAGGTCAAGATCACGGAACTGCAGGTAGACCCAACGTGCGTCAACGCACAATGCATGACTACACAATCACAATCCTGTTTATGAATGATGAATAACCATAATTGCACATCTAACACCTGTATGTCTGTATCTCAACTGTGGATCATAAAGTCATGCGACCGCAGGGAGACCGGTCGAAGTAAGGCAGTATTAGACAGGGTCACAATGAGAATCTCCCAAATGTCGCTCTGGTTTGCTGTCAATGTGTCAAATACATCAACGATAAAGTATGAGAATCTCCCAAATGTCGCTCTGGTTTGCTGTCAATGTGTCAAATACATCAACGATAAAGTATGGAAATTTTGTCAACAGAAATTGAGCAAGGCCGAGATGTTTTCGCTGGGGCAGAGTCCAAGAGAACAATCTTCTATTAAGCTACTGAATCAGGTCTTGAATAGAACCTCGTGTACAATTTGGTCAACTAGTTGCAAAGCTTCAGTTGAACAATAACCTGAAGCTACCCTCACAGCATCTGGAGCTTTCATCAAGCAAACTATGAGAAAACTTGATAAGTTACTGGTTTTCCCCCGGCAATTTTATCAAGGTACATGATCACCATTTGAACTTGCTTCGTAGGCTCACCAATTAATTTGTATTCACTCCACTTTCAGGACTATCTTCATTAACTCATAAACAAAATAGCTGATCGATGCCGATGGTAGAACCTGAACAAAAGTAGAAAGAAAACCAGAAACTAAGGCAATTTGAAACAGACTAGCATACACTGATCGCAATGAATAGTAGGATCAAAATGATACATGCAGGTCTCTAAGTTCGTGCAGTCTGTCTCTTTCAGCAAACCAGCATCATTGCAGAGATATGTCAAGAACCTTGTCACTTTCATTAAATATGATTTCTTTATTGCTAGTTTGATGCATTAAAAAATGAAATAGGTACCCTCAACATATCTTGTTATACAGCATATTAGGATTCGAAAAGGTCACACTTCATGAATTTTGACCAACAATTAGTCTAAGTATATGCACGCATACTGTTTACTGCTTAGTATACTGAAGTTATACAAACAGATTCGTATTTAGCTGATGTTTTACTACGACCTTGAGCTTGAAGCAATCGATGATATACTTAAAAGTGAAAATTTGTAGTCTAGAGTATACCTCTGAAGAGGTCTTAAAATGCTTGGTGCCTTATAAAAAAAATGAAGGCAGTACAATAACAAATATGGCCCTACATATGTGGAAATAGATTCTCTGCTGAAAGAATACATACCTGTAACAAGCTGGGGATCAGACCGACATATAGTGCTGGTACCCCACCTTGATCAACAATCTTAAGACATGTTGCAAATGCATTCATTCTGGTTGCTTTTACTTGCATCTGTAGCTGCCTACGGACCACTTCAAACGGGTATGTAGCTGCTTCAGCACAGCAACCCGCAATGGCCCCATAGAGTAAGGTCCTCACAGTACCTAATTCAAGTTGATCCAATGCATTTGTCTCTTGTTTTTGTTGCTTCATCATTGATACCCTTTTCTTTCCTTCAGGAGAATGCAGATATGCCATCTTCAGTATGTCATACATTCCATAGAATACAGCACCAGAGGGTGCCATGCTGATAAGAGAAGGCACTAATCCCTTATACAGCGAGAAGAATCCTTCAGTTTGGATCATGTGGCGGGCAACACCAATGACCCCACCTAAAGCTTCACCACCAGGAGCTACCATCCTTGTCCTGATCTGAAACCAACAGCTAAATAGTCAGTGAAAAGATGGCAACAAAGTAAAAGATTAAGAAAATCTGCGGTACAAAATCTTTAAAGAAACCTACTGTATCCATAGGTATGCACATAATCGTTGCTGTAACACCAGCGAAAGCACCAGCAATAAATCTCTCAAAGTTCGTAGTTTCTTCGTTACCAGACCATTTGAGCAGTTGCTTTCTGTAACTGTCATATGCATAGAAGTTGACTGCCTTGAATGGAGCAGTGCGGAGGATGTTGACAAAGTTCCCTTTCCAAAAGCCTTTTAACCCTTGTGTTGTTGCAATAGCATGCATAAGCTCAAATAGATTCCTCTGCTCACCACGAACTACATACTCCAACTTTAGCCTCTCAAGAGGAGCAACAACTGTTCTGCATGAAATATAAAAGTTATGAAATAAATTCCAGTACTCTCTTCCTAATAAAAAGAACAATAACTAGGAAAGCAAGACCTATACATCTGGAGTAAGTAAAGACTCACTTTGTGTAG